ACTAGTAGTTTGTCCGCGCTACGCGCGGAATGTTTGGCATTGTGCTATTAAACAAAATTTCATGAGATAAAATTGTTTATTTTCAAACTATATTGTTGTAGCTGTTCTATATGTCGAGTGAATAATAGTTATTAATATGAAGGAATAGTTATTTTAATAGTTTTCAGTTGTTTATAATTTATTGGTTGCTCATATCATGGTTTCATATAAAACCAATCAATATGATATGATATATAACATATGCATCAATTAATAATTTTAACTACATTAACATTTTTTTATGCATCAATTAATAATGTTAACTACATTAAGTAATTTTAATATATCCATTTATAACATATCTATACTACAGAAACATTTTTGTCTTTTATTTAATAAAATGCCAATTTTTCAAAATATCCCTAAATTTACAAATAAAGTTTAATTCTCATTAATGGCAAGTTTTTCCTTTTTTGTTTTTTAATCTTAAAACTATATCTATCCGTTAAATTAATTCATTGTATCTATGAACCATTAAGAAAAGTAAATTTTTTGATTTTTGTTTTTGGTTTGGTTTAGTAGCAAAGTTGGAAATTTTCTAATATTCAAAAAAAAAAAAAAAATTGGTCCAACTTAGTTCCGGTTCGATTCTTGTTTTTTCGGTAACTACGGATATATAGAAAAAAATATTAGATAATTTAGAGCATTTAGTTTAATATCAGGTAATTCAAATTGTTTGGATAAAAGTATCAGATCATTAAAAAAATTAAATATTTTGAATAAAAATATATTTGGATAATGTTTTTGGATAATTCGATTTATAAATAATATTTTAACGACATTCAGTTATTTATAAATTGAATTTTAATATTTGTAAGCATACAATTTTTTTTTCAAACATTTAGATACCCTTTTGGTTCTCGGTTTGGTTTCGAACTTTTTGGTTCCAGCTATATATGATATGTGCGGTTATTTATGAAATTTCAATGAATTTGTTTTTTTTTTTCATTTTGGTACAGTGCGGTTCATAGTTCTGAATAAATGTGTTCGAACCTATATACTATCTTATAAGAAAATTTATATTAAAAATAATTTTAAGAACAAATCTGCGTTTTTAAGTGCGGATCAAAATCTAGCTGTGATTATAAAAAAAAAGAATGAAGACTGTATTTAAAATGTAATTCAGTTTTAATAAGGAGATTTGGTAAGATTTCTTCCATTTTCTGTTGGTGTCTACTGAGATCTCATTTTCTTCTTATTAGTTTGCCACTTTTGTATTATCTCGAACTCTGTATCTCTATCAGTGTTATAAAAAAAATTCAGTTTTAATATAATTGATAAAAAATATAATGCCAAAATTTCACTCCAAATCTAGTATTGTTAGACAATTGTATCCTTTATAAGTTATTTTGTATCATTTATAAGTTATTTTGTAAATAGCGTACAATTTTTAGAGGACTTCTTTGGAAAAAAACCAGCCCAACATCTTCATCTTCTGTCTCTGAGCTTACAACTTGACGACAGCTTCTTCTATCTGTTGTGCAGCAGCTACTCAATCTTCATCTTCATCTTCATCTTCATTGATTGAAACTTTGACATGGAAATCGCTAGCAATAGAGAGAACCAACACGGGTTTCACTTGGGTCGATGAAAGGCTTATCACCAAACATGATGCTTCCCCAAAGCCAGTCAAAATTTTCAGTGGCAATGTCTCCTGGATCAACGACCTTATGCTTGAGCTTGTCCGAGCGTACTAAGAGAACAGAGAAGTTTCTCTGTTTCAAAGCTTGAAGAATGCTGATCATCTCGGGATCTTATGAGATGGTGTTGGAGACGATCACCAAATTGGTTGGTTGACCCTCATTGAACAAAGGATTGTTGTCCCATGCGTAAATAAGAACGTCTCTTATCATAATCTTTGCTCTCAAATATTTGCTCACTGAAAGGAAAAAGTATAAAATCATTGGAATGATTACTTTTTCTTTTCTAAAGGAAAGAGATAAAAAAAGGGGAGAGAATATTTACCAACATCAACATCAGGAACGAAGCAAAGCCTGGCTTTGCGGTAAGTTTGCTTCAAGTAATCTGGGACTGGTAGTTTCTTGTCACAGTAGAAGTTCAGTTCAAAAATTTCATACAGATTCTTCTTGGCAAGAGAAAACAGAGATAAAGCTTAGATACATGGATGTGCAAAATGGTGTCACATCGTTGAATGACGTATAGGGTAATGTTTTGTGGGGCAAGATGCTTCTCCTGCAAAAAGAAACAAACAAAATTGAAACAAAAAAAACCATCCCACGTCTTTATTGAAACACTTACGATTTCAGACAACAGTTGTGACTTCGTGAACCCAATCAGTTCCAGATAATTCATCAAGCTTGAAGATTCTTTCTTAAGAGGTCTAGACCCCATTCCCCTTCGTTCCCTCACTTCCTCTTCCCCCTTAGATACCTCTTTGCTTTGCCGTCGAACGACTCCCTGCCACATGAGCTTCCTACTCCACCCAATCCAATACCGAGTCACATCCAAACAACCAAATAGAGTTTAACAGTTGCAATGTCCTTACCCTGAGATGTTTGTGCCTTGTGACCATGCAGTACACGCCCACAAAACTACGGAGTTGCACATTATGATCTTCATTTAAATGGACACACATGAGGCCAAAGACTTACAAATCACATGAAGGTAATTAAGATCCTGAAGCGTACCCAATAAAATAAACAAACTCACTAAGATTAATATCAGGAGGGTTTTTGGTTATAACAAAATGATGCAAAGACACTAATATGTTATCAAAACCCGAGTTATACTAATCAAAAGCTTTGAAAAAAAACTAAGCACACCATAAAGAGTTTATCCAAAAAATAAGAAGCTGAAAACGTTGGGCTTCTTCAAAAGATAACTAACTACTGATAATCGATTTTCAAACACATCTAAAAGAACCGAAAACTAATACAAAATATAATGATAACTATCCAAAGTTTTCCAAACCCATTGAATTATCTTTTCAAAGCTAGACAAAAACATACACACAATGATGTAAAAGCTTATCCACTGAAAAATTGGAAACTTTGAAGAGTGGAAATAGCAACTTACATCAGCAAGAATAGAAGGATTGATCAGCTTGAACATAAGAGGTTCAGACAGAAGCTTGTTGTTAGTTTCCTGATCAAGAGAATCAAAAGAAAATATGATTCAATAGAAGATGAGATTCGATAGGGATTACCTTCTTCTTAGAGGATGCTAGTGGAACTTTTTATTTTTTTTGCCTGCAATCAAGAAACCATTATCATATCAATATCATCATCATACGGAGTCAAATATAAAGAGATTTGCTCCCTTGGCTTAAGGAGTGAGAAGACGATTGAAAATGCAAGATAGTGGAAAAAGTTGTAAATCAATCAAATCAGCAAGGAGTGTGTAGGAGTTTGCCATTGCATGAATACTTTGCTTGATCTTTTCTTCGAGAGCGCTTGGGATGAACTCGACATTGTTAGATACATATGTATTTATACTGAACCTAGAGAGAGTTTATGTGGGATTCCAAGAGATGAAGATAATGGGTCTAACAGTCAAAGTGAGAGTAAAGAAGACATTAATGGAAAAAAGCAACGGTTACGTATGCTTGGATCTGGTTATGGCGACGATATGAACGATGAGCGTTGTTGATAACGAAGAGAGGAGTCAATGAAAACCTAAAATAAATGGGCCTCTACATCATGAAAAAGGAAAGCCCAATTTCAGCATCAAAATCGACAGAAAAATAAACAAATCTAAACCGAAATGGGAGAGGTATAATTTGAATGGTTTAATTTGGTTAGGGTTGCTGACATGTCATTTTTTGCCCCCATCACAAATGCTGAGGTGTACACTCTAAGAAGGGAGAAAACTTGATTTTATTGTATAAGATNTCTACATCATGAAAAAGGAAAGCCCAATTTCAGCATCAAAATCGACAGAAAAATAAACAAATCTAAACCGAAATGGGAGAGGTATAATTTGAATGGTTTAATTTGGTTAGGGTTGCTGACATGTCATTTTTTGCCCCCATCACAAATGCTGAGGTGTACACTCTAAGAAGGGAGAAAACTTGATTTTATTGTATAAGATGTTACCTCGCAAAATATTTTCTTTTAAAGTATTTATGTTTTGTTGATGTTTTTTTTTTTTGAAATGAGATAGGAAATTATAATTTCGGTTTAAAACATATCCAGATTTTGTTGATGTTGTTGATTATTAGAAAATACTACGTTTTAGTAGGTACAAATATAACTTCGTTTTAAAAAACCTGACGATATATAATATTTTATATTTTTGAATATGTAAATATATAATTTGATATTTGATAATATTTATACACCTGAACCCGAAGCTTGCCGAATAAAATCCCACTCGAATACGAACGCTCAGTCAGCAGTCAGCCTAGCCACTTTCCTCTATCAACAACATATAATTTTGATACGGAAATGTCGGAACTGCAAGTTTTTTAGTTGTTAACTACAACAAACTCCACCACAAATTAAACACGGTTGCTTGTAGAATGTTCTCAGCTACCAAACCGAAACTCGGTACTTCATGGAACAGTCGAGCCACAAACAACAATGTTGTGCAGTCTTTAAGGATTATTAGCAAAGACTGTTCGTAAATTACGAGTATAATTCATATGAAAATATTTTTTTTTAAATCAAAACGTAGATTACATGATATTTATAGCTTTTTATTTTTTTCATTTGTCCATCTGAAATGGCAACCAAATCTCATTAACCCGACCAAAGAACTCGAATGGTGAGTTGTATTGCGCCACCATGTAAGCCGAAGTCGATCCAACACCACCTGTTTCTCTGCTTTTAGCAATTGCCTTGCCCCATACGGTACCATTAAGGCTCGCCTCCAGCTCCGCCGCTTCTTCTCCCACGCTGTTATCTGACACGTATCCGCCGAACTGCTTCACGGCAACGTACCTCGTGTCCCATCTCTGTACGTGTAGGTTCTTTGCTGGAGCTGGATTAAGTTGGTTTTGTTTAGGAACGTAGAATGATAGAGTGAAGTTGGATTCACATAAAGGACCGTTGCTTGGAGAGACTTGAACGATAACCGGAGCTGTCATCTCTATCTTCTGGTGATAATCGTTATTCCCTTGAATGTAATCGAACAATCTGCGCACAAACCACAATCAAAATCGATCCATGAAAAAAAAAGGTCTAAATGGTTATATAGGTTCGATTCCTGGAGAGATCTATTTCTTAAGAAAAAATGGTTTTAGTTTTGTTCTAAATGATATAAACAAAACCTTGTAGTCATTTAAAAAAAAACAATCAATCCTTATGAATTTTTTTAGAAAACCCTAATTTTGGAAGTTGAAATGAACATACTGGCTAAAACCGGTTCGTGTAGCTTTGACGAGAGAGGTCTCTTTCATAGGTTCTGTTGACATCCACACGGAAGTATTGTAACGGCGAATCTCGTAGGCGTTAGTGGAGTTGACCAAGTCGTAGCTTGGACACTCGATCCTGTTACAAGACGGTGGAAACTTTCCAACTGGTCCAGAAGCGAGATCGGATAGGGTACGAGAACCGAAGACGTCAGAGTCTCCGGAGAAAAGGCTGAGAAGGAAGGATAGCTTGAAGATTCTCATGAGAGCTGCTTCCATGGCGGCGGATTTTTTATTTGGTTCTTTTTCTTCTTCGTTTTGCTTACACTGGAACACATGAGGATACGTTTTTTATAGGTGGGGTTCATCTTCAGACAGGATTAGGTTATGTAAGAAAACCCTACAAACTTTCATTATTTTCAGATTACTCCTTTATATTTTTTTTTGTATTTTCACGTTTTACTGTCGAGTTCCGGTTTACGTAGTTGGTTTCTGTTCTGATATTTTTTTTTGTTGGTTTTTGGGTTATGGAAAATAAAACCAAATCATTTATTTGTAGTCCGGTTTAGTTTGATGCAATCTTCATAAAATTTATGTTTGTTTGGTCCAGTTACATTAAAATTGGTCTCGGTTGCAGGTTTTAACAACAAAAACCAATTGATTTATAAACATTTTGTTTGGTTCGGTTGCAGTTTTTAATTATTTCCAATCCTTGGTTCCTTACTAAACGTATTGTACTTCGCCAGGAAATGATAAATATGAAAATATTAACCAGCATTTTTTTATTAATTAAACCGGTTTAGTCAGAAGCTGTTATAGTCGTCTAGTTTCTAAACCACCTCTCTTAACCTAATTGCATATACATGTAGCATTCAGATTGTGAGGGCGCAACCTCATTAGTCATTACATGTCAAACGGAACAAGAATCTCATTAACTCTAGCGGTGGTCTGGAACGGTGGGTTATAATCGGTGACTAAATATTCCGGCCACGCTCCTTTGCTCTTCTCGATGTGGAACTTCCATTCAGAGCTATCCATCAGAGCTAAAGCTTCTTTAATGGCTGAATCATCCGTCACATACCCAATGGGGTTTGTTGGTTCTTCTTTGGGACGTAGAAGGAAACGGTGTAAAAGTATTCTGTTTTTGCAGTTGTTGTTTGTGTGATAACCGGAGCTGCCACGTTCATTTTCATCTTGCTCTTGTTAGCTCCTTGTATGTAACGAAAAAATCTGTAACCCCCAAAATTAAATCAATATTAACTGAAAATAATAAAGTAGTAGGATACTAAGAAAACAAAAGTTAATTAATGAAACGTAAGAAAAAAACGTTAGAAAACAAAAATCTTATTTAGTTTATTACGTTTTCTGTTTGTACACAAAACTAAATAAATCTACTTTTTCAGTCAACAATTCTATTAAATTTTAGCAAAAAAAATCTACGAAATCAAAATTCTAGTAACTCCACCTTTATAATTATATATATATATATATATAGGGATATTTCTCATAAAAAATTGAATTAATTTTAAGATTACGTAAAGAAAAAATTAAATTTTAGCCGGAAACACGTGATCCGTTCGTCGTAACGTACGTCCGCTAATATGTATAACAAAAACTAGATTGAAAAATGTAAGTTACCGTTGAAACCGGTTTTGGTGCCTTGAGTCATGGATGAAGCGGGGATGGGATCCGTGGACATCCAGACTGCAGAGTTATACATGCGTATCTCGTAGCCTAACCGGCTTCTACCAATTTGTAGGTTGGGCACTAGTTTTTTTTTTTTTTTTTTTGGTCACACGTTCCTGGACGCGTCCCCATAGATGGATTCCACGGTGCGGGAGCCTGAGAACATGATACAACCACGACTAGGCTGAGGAAGAAGGACAGCTTCAAGATGGCTAAATCGGTTTTCATGGTTTAAAAATGAATCATCTGCAGGGCATGTCTTGTGTAATGAAGTGTTTTTTTTTTTTTTTTTTTTTTTTTTTTTNTTAAAAATGAATCATCTGCAGGGCATGTCTTGTGTAATGAAGTGTTTTTTTTTTTTTTTTTTTTTTTTTTTTGAAACACAATTAAATTAATTCAAACTCAACCACCAGCAGGTGCAGCCATAATGGCAAGTTCAACAGACAGAGCCTGCTTTGCTAATACATCCGCTTCAACGTTTTTCAATCTAGGAATCCAAACAAAGGAGATACATTCAAAAGAAGAAACCATTTCTTGAATATCAGTCAATATCCCATAGATGCCAATAAGGGAAGTTCTTGCATTGATGGCTTTAACAAGTTCCGCACAGTCCGATTCACATCTCAGACGAACCAGTCCGAGATCTCTGCACTTCCATAACGCTTCCCTTAATGCTAGTGCTTCCGCAGCTAACGGTGACCTCACATGGTGAGCCGGTATCGAAAAGGTTGATGCTCTGTTGATAAATTGCAACCCTTAACAATACAAAGTGTTTATAGATGCATTTTTGGGCTGTAAGGTGATAATCTTAGAGTACAAGTTATTAATATCTTTCACTAGATAACCTTCGAAGAATTTTGACCATAATCAGTGGCGGACCTGGGTGGTGGAGAAGGGGGTCAGTAAAAAAAATGACTCTATAAAAATATCCACCAAACAACTATAAGTTGCATACTGCATGTATATAAAAAAAGACACAATATGTAGACGTATTGATTAAAAGTTTTTAACATATATTTCTTAAAACATTTTTATAAAGATGACAGTTTAGTTAACTACTAATGCACGGTATGCACCATAGTTAAACTTTCCTCTATCATTTGACGAAGCACACTAAATGCTTTATAATTTTTATTTCATTAGCTTTATCCTTCTATTCAGTGTCTTATCCTAACTACGTGAGATTATGAGACATTTAAATTGCAAACCGAGTTGGGTAAATTTTTTTTATTTAGTTCAAGTTCTTAAGAAGTCTTTTGTATTGTTAAGGGTTGCAATTTATTAAAAGTAAAAATCCAGCTTTTAGAATACATAGTCAAGACATACGGGGTAAGGAAATCTTTGGTATACATCAAACAAATGGCCTCTGCTTTTGTCGAGATAACTTTCTCTCATCTACCTCGCCGTTTTAATCTTGATGCCGATGTTTTAGCCAAGAAATCGCTTTCATCTTCTTCATAAATATCTACTTTTCAGATTATGTTTCCCTTTTGGGCTGGGCCTGAGGTCTTGGTTTTTAATTTAAGAATATGTGCTACAAAAAAAAGAATACATAGTCAACATTAGTTAGATATATCCTGTGATTTCTTTCCTAACTAAGATTTATTTCTATCAGTATGTATATGTATAACATCTAAAGTACCTCTCAGACACATAATTTTTACTATCTACTTTAAGAGACTAATTCTCATTTTTGCAAATAATTCTTTTGGGTACACAATATACCAAAGAAAAAGAAAAGTATTTATTTCAATTTTTAAATGGCAGATATTGTGAAAATTTAAACAATAAAAATATAAGAGTCTTGGGGTTTTACTGTAACAGTGCTAGAATGTATGTGTCTCTAATCAATCCTTTTTTCTTATTGTAATTAACTACATTGGACACATAATTATCTCTCTTTTCTTTTTCATAGTAAGAGTTTCACTAAATTTGGAATTTCTTATCATTAATTATATTAATTTTAATATGTGATTAAATTTTAATATAAAAACAATGCTAATTAGAGAATGACAAATGTCATAATGATTTATTAAAATTATCTGAGGTAGGTTGCTCTTCTTTCCTTATCTCTTCTCTCATATTTTTTCTATATTTGCATTTCTTATCATCTATAATAATGTTCTAAAATCTCTCAAATAAAAAACCAGCCTCTCTTTGTTTTGTGTTCATCTTCTTTAGAAAAACACATCTGCTTCTTAGTGATGCAATCGATGGATAGATCAATATCATCGACAAAGGGAGAAATGGTACATGTCGAGGTGGTCAATACTGATGATTGGATTAGTAAAATCTCAAACGATCTCTTGCTTGAGATCTTATCAAAATTGTCGACCAAAGAAGCCATTAGGACAAGTGTTCTATCGAAAAGATGGGTGAATGTGTGGAAGAAGACGTCTCAACTATGTTTGGACATGAGAACGATCGCAAACACCACAACTCTTTTGCCAGATGTTTCTCATCAAGCAGCTAAATCAGTGACCAATGTTTGTTTTTTTTTCTTAATATTTTCTTTCATAATTTTAGGAGAAATAAATTACATGAATGAATCTGATTATAAGGTCTGATGGACTAGGTTGGTTGGTGCTAACTATTCTTGTTTGTTGATTGCTATAACCTATGAATACATTTCTCTACGGTCAAATGATAGCACTTGAAAAGGAGAGGTTCTACTTATTGTAGATATTAAACATGTTTGGTGGGATTTTATTTTGAAGTTTCCTGAAAGATTAAAGTTAACGATTTTTCGCGCGAAAATTTTAAAATTTAAAATTTATAATCGTTAGGTTTGAGATTGATGATTACAGATCATTGAGTTGTTATTGTAGTGAATAGGAAATCTAGATGAACATGATCTCTTGCCATTTGCATCAAATAAAGTGGGTTTATTTTAAATTTCGCACCTTTAATAAAGATCTAGGCTAATGTATTTTCGCGCGAAATATTTCATTTTAAATTATATATATGAGCAAGAGATTTGTGTTTTACAAAAAAAAAAGATTAATAGTTTTGAGATCTAATACATGTTTAGTGAATTCTTATGGTAATGAATAGGAAATCTAAGAAGACATGATATCTTGCTCTTTGCAACTATAGAACAAACACTTGCATTGTAATTAAAAGGGCACCCCAAATATATTACAATTTTTTTGTTTGAAATTCATGGTTTTATAGAAGATTAAAGGCTAACGTTTTGCTACTTGAAAATATTTGTTTTTATTATATATGATCAAAAGATTTGAGACGCACCAGTCAACTGTTATTGTAGTGAATAGTAAACCTAAAAAAACATGATCTATTGTATGTCATTTACACCTGGAAGTAATATATGTGCATTCAGAAAGGTATACACTAATATCTATCATAATTCAGACATGTAGATTCGTAATCTAATACGCAATCCTTAAAGTATAGTAGTATACAATTCCTTATACCTTTTCTGCAAAGTCTAGTATATATAGGGTTATTGTTCATCAGATTTCAAGAGTTACTTTCCTGGTAAATTTATTACAGTTTAATTGTAAGATATTGAATTAAACATGTCTAATAATTCTTTGGCTTTGTAGGTTATAAAGGATCATTGTGGCCGTTTGGAAAAATGCTCAATCTACCATGACTCAGACCAATGTGTAAACGGGATGTTGAAGTTTTGGGTTCAGTTACTGGTTATTGTGAAACACACCAAAGATCTCACACTGGAAAACTTTTCTCTCAATAGGAAACGAAACGTCACACTTGACTTACCTCCTCGGTCATTTTCCCATCCAAGCCTCACATCTCTCTCGCTAGGCCGGTACAAGTTAGAAGCTCCACATGCTTTCTCCGATGGCCGGAATTTAAAAAATCTCAAACTGATTGGTATCTCTGCTGAGATTGAAGTCTTTAATGCAGTCCTTGCGTCTTGCACTTCTCTTGAAGTGCTTGCACTAAAGACCAGTTGCATCTCCAAAGGTGGTAGTCTGAAAATTGAGAACCATAACCTAAAGTTCTTATATCTATCTTGTTCTAGGATAAAATGTATTGAGGTGTTTTCACCCAGCCTAGATATCCTCTCCATTGGATCTCTCTCGTGTGAGATAGAGAACGTCGTCATTGCAAGCCCTAGACTCCATTTCAATCGAAACTATTGGGCTACGGGAAAAATTTTTCCTCACACTAGCTATTATATATCATGCCCCCAGCAGGTACGTATATATATTTCTTTTGTATGCTATTTTACTAGTTTGATAGATGGAGAAACAAATGGTATCAATACTTGACATGTATTTATGTGAATGTCAAGGGGGAAAAAAGCATTGGAAATGAAATTATGATGAATGGATCCAATGTTTGTATGAAAATGTTTGCATCAATGTCGGTGAGTGTAGACTTAACTAATGCAAAAGAGGTTGAGATGCTCAAACAAGTGTTAGCTGCATGGCCTGGAGACATGTACGAAGTTGAGATTTTATTTAAGGTATGTTCATATCTTTATGTTCAAATTAGAACATGATCAACAATATTAGCCACTATATATTTAAACTTTAAAGGTGTTACACATGTTTTGTTTTTGGTTATATATAGGGTAACAATGCTGCTAGGAATGAAAGTGAGTCGTCCTCCGTTGGATATACACAGAACACGTTTTGGGAAGATACAAAACCGTTTCCCAGCGCTAAGTTCCGTGCATATACTGTATGGTTGTCTAACTTTAGCGGTTCATATGAAGAGTTTGCGTTGGCCTCGCGTATGATAACGCAAGGGACGGTAGTAAGGTGTATGATGATCAGACCATCGTCGGTATCTCCAGCTAAGAAGTTGGAGATTGAAGCGGCAATAGCCAGGCTTAAGGAGCTTCCAAAAGGTGACGAGGACCTTGCTATCGTGAAGTTCTGATGAGCTGTTGTTTGAATCTATAGCCATTTGCTGTATAACTAGAGAACTCTATAGAGTCTGGTTTCAAGTATTGCTTTTGACTTTTCTTTTTTATGTTTGAGATATTTGGGATGTTTTTTTTATTTAATTTGAAGTCTATTTGAATGTTGGTTGTTGAATTATTATCTCATTGTCTTGTTGAGTTCTTCACTTTCTCGATATTCATTGTCTAAAGGGATTATCTACCATGATTGACAAAACTGATGTGCTTGTCTGTTAAGTTAGGGTACATTTCTTCGGTAATCGTAAGTGCCAAAGTGTAGGTATATCATCACTATACACTAAATAGAATATATAGCTCCATTAAATTCAAATTTTTTAGTATATTAAATAAATAACCTCATCTGGTTAGAATTCAGACGTTACTTTTTGCTAATTGATTTTCTATAGAACTAAAAAAAAAAACAAAAAAGACCATGGAAAAACCAAAGTTCGTAACGCATCCCTTCCCATGAGCCACCGGTTTCATCTATCACTTAGAAACGCTTCTCTAACCTTTGTACGTTTGTGTTTCAAAAAAAAAACCTTTGTCCGTTTGTTTTTTTTTTTTTTTTGAACACTGGTAACCTTTGTACGTTATGTAATGTTAGGGTTTTATTAGATTCTGAAGGTCCCATCTCATTAAACAGAAAATGTACAAAAACTTGAATAACTTTAAACTCAAACTAGATTTTTTTCATTTTTTAACTTAAATAACTTTAGATTGTTAAAAATATATTTAAAATATGCAACGATAGGAGGGTCCCAAAATTTAAACGAGGGTTTAGGTGTCTTGTGCCACAAGCTAAACTCCATGTATGTGCTACATATGTTAACTGCTCCAGGTATGGAACAATATTTAGAATCAAAAACCGTATTTTCGACGGATCGAGATATTAATTTTGAGATTTTCCTGCAAGAGAACCGATCTTTCGTGTTATATATCCTCACATGTTTGTCAAGATACTCAGAAAGATAACTTGTTCTTCAAGACAGGGAACAAGCACACAAACAAAGCAATCTCCCTCTTCTTGGTCTCGATGGTTTGAAGGGGAAGATGATAGGGAACATGGACCAATCAGTAATAAAAGTAATTAAGTACTGACTTCTCAAAAGGGTTGGCTATAAAGTCTCATATATTCTTTAGTTGTCCTTGCTAAAGAAAGACCTGCTAATGGGTATTGCTTTAGCTTTGAAATTCATATCCAAAGGTTGTTGCAGAGCTTAGGTAAACATACATCCATCAAAAACATTAGTTTTGGCAATCATCTTTAAAAAGAAGTATATGGTTGGAGTTGACATAGCCATATTCAATATGGCACAGCATGAACATAAGGCAATGATAGAGATCAGAGAAGAGAAAGGAAAGCTGGGAAGAATCATACACAACAATACTTTGCATGAGAGTTATCCCTGGATCTGTATTGCAGCCAAATACTACTTTTAATGTGTACACAAATCTCTGTATTTGCTTTACTGTACTATAATCATGTACTCAAATCTTTTCTAACTACTAATCGATTCTTTCAAGATTAAACATTACCATTTCTTCTAGAGCCGACCTGAAGCCACTCTGAGGCAGACACTGCAGATTCTTCAAAGCATCATCAGCTTTCTCCCTAGCCAACTCTTGTGCTCTTCTGATTCCTCCACCTTCTCTCACCAACTCAATCCCTTCTTCCAACGAACCCTCCTCACAAAACTCAGACTCTATGATCTCTCTCAGCCTAGGCTCCTTCTCCAGAGCGAAAATCACAGGTGCTGTTAAGTTACCTTTAGCCAAATCACTCCCTGCTGGCTTCCCTAGCTGCTCTGAGGACTGAGTGAAGTCCAAAATGTCGTCTACTACTTGGAATGAGAGGCCAAGATTCTTCCCAAACTCATACATTTGCTCTGTCACAACAGTTTCAACTCTGCTGAAGATTGCAGCTCCTTTGGTGCTTGCAGCCACCAACGAAGCTGTCTTGTAGTAACTCTTGAGTAAGTAGTCTTCTAACGTAACGTCACAGTCAAACAGACTTGATGCTTGCTTTATCTCTCCACTCGCAAAGTCTTTGATCACCTGAATGCATAATAAGTTAGTGAAAATGAGATCTCATAGCTCTGTGACATTCTAAGAGTAGTTTAAGTACCTGACTTATGAGTTTGATAACTTCGAGGTTCTCGAGGTTAGCTAAGTACCATGATGCTTGAGCAAACATGAAGTCACCAGCTAATACAGCTACTCTCGTCCCAAAAAGCTCATGAACTGTTTCTTTACCTGTCATTACACAGAGAGATACTTAACATTGTTCCATGAAACATATGAATCATGAATGGAAAACTCACCTCTACGCATATCACTCTCATCTAACACGTCGTCATGTATCAAGCTTGCAGTGTGAATCATCTCTATGATCTCACCTAAACGCCTATGTTCAGTTGTAAGTTCCCTGCATCAAGACAATTTTTTAAAAAACAATCATTTCATGCTACAAGACAGATACAAAAGACAAGTGTGTAGATTAGATTACTTTAGGCCAGCTAGCTCTGCTGTGGCTCGTGATACGAGGAAGACCAAACCAGGTCTCATTCTTTTACCACCAGCTCCGAAGATTTGCTCAGCTGCAGATATCAAAACTGGATTCTCTGCACCAACAATCTAATAAAAGAAGCAAACTAAATCTCAAGCAGTGAAAAAGAAGATGAAGAAAGAAAGAGTTACTTCTGATACTAACCGATAAAAGATTGTCATTCAACATCTGCAGATCATCAGCTACAACCTCAAACAGATTCGCCAATGAAATAGGCTGCTTTCTGGTCTCTTGCCTCAAATCAAAACTCACCGTTTTGGCCTCACCTATTCCTACAGAACATCATCATTTCTCATAAAAGCATAACAAGTGACATGAATAGTTCAGACAAACCAAACCAAAACTATCAATCACATGATTAACAGTTAAGACATCAGAGAAACATCATACCGTTGACCAAAGAGATCTCTTTGGGTTTTGTCGGAACAGCTTTGCAACTCATCCCCACGTCACGCCGGAGAAACACAAGATTCCCACCGCCGCCACCGTAGCTTCTCGACATACCAACAGCCTTGGGAAAGTTTCCTAACTGACGACGACCACAGCCACATGAGATCAGGTCAAGGACACTAGTTCCCAAGTCTATATTCCGACAAGATGTCATCATTTCTCACCAAAACCAAGAATCAAGTTTAAAGCTCTAAAAAAAGACTTTGGGGTTATCAAAAGGTTGAAGCTTTTACATGAAGAAGCAATAAAGGTTAACTCTTTTTTTTCTCCGCCGAGAGATTTTGAGTGTATGAAAAAATTACAACAACAAAAAAAAAGTATTAAACTTTATTTATTAAATAGAATAAAAAACAAGTGGGGTGAATTTAATTAGATTCGAGTGGAGGAGATAAGCCCACATGAGGAAGTGAGAGGACGACTGTTATTCGTTTTTGTTTCAGTACCAGAAGAAGCGAAGAGAAGAGAAGAGGGAAACCAAACCATTGAAACCAGAAGAGTTCATCGTCTCCACTTATCTTATCTGAAGCTGAGATCTTGCCACGTGTTATTATCCGGTTTTATTTAGCATTCAAGTCCTTGTATTAATAATTTATTAACGTTTTTAGACTCGCAAGTTTTGAAATTACTTGTAAGTCCTTTTTATAGATTTTTCAGTCTTGTGAGTGATTAAATTCTGAAACTTACAGTAAACTCTTTTTGACCTTTTAATTAAGTGCTGATAAAGTTTCAAGAACTAATAACATAGGTTCAAAAAAAAAAAAAACTAAACATTTAACACTTGGAATATCAAAAAATTGAAACTCTGGATATTTAGATTAAAACTCGTAACATGCTCCTTTGATTTCTTGTAATAAAGTCTTATGTTTTTTTTGCTCATTTGTAATCGTAGTAGCAGTTTCCATAGCCTGAAAATAAAGGGGAAAACAAAAATTTATTAGTCTAACATTTTCTGTAATATTTTTATTTTAGAAAGAAGAGGAAGAGAAAGATAAAATACTCACTGGGGTTAGTTATGACAATGAGTCCAGAGTTCTTGAAATTGCAGTTCCAATAGTTTCTTCCATTAGCTTGGTAATAAAGATTCATGGCGACAGAAGCATGGTTTATGAGATTACCGGGGGAGTAACATGGACATCCACTCGAAAGAACGCGACAATCCACATGAGAACATGCGAAGTTTATGTTATCAAGTAGTGCTGCTTGATCCGAAGATGGTTTAGCCACACACCATGTCTTCATCTATTAACAGCAAAAAATCATTTGAGTAAGAATAACAAACACTGTTCTAGCATATAATGATAACTAGTCGTCAAAGCATATACTACCTCTGCGTTGACTTTGATAAAGTTTCTTTCTGTGAGGAAAAGGATACCAAGATGAAACTGTTAAGTAAAACTAGTGACATGCAACGTAAGATTCAATAAGTAAACTAAGATGGTTAATAGTTGTGATTTGAGTACCTGACGAGAGGTAGAAGGTGATGAGGAAGCAAATGCACATCCATGCTTTAGCCATTTTGTTTGGTTTTTGTCTGAGTGAGGATTCTTCTACAATCTCCTGTTGTATATATAAATGATGAGCAAATGATCAGTGATGAAATTTTCTTTTATTTATATTTTTAATACTAATTTATGTTTTCAGGCTTTTGAGGTGAATAATCCAGCAAATTGCTTACAAGTAAAGTAAAAGTTTTAGCAAAAGTGGCAGTATAAACCGTATTGTTAGAGATCATGTCGGTTTTTGTTTAAAGTTAAACCTAAGATATTATATTCTATGTAGTTATTAGTTCACCTTCTTAATCATAAAATTTAATTTGTTCAAAAATTGTTATACATTTATACTACAAAGTTTTGATATCCTTAAACTTTAACGGTAAAATTGATGTTTCATGAGTTTTATCTCATGGTAGCTCTGCTAAAAAAATCTCAAATGACTATTATATTTCTTAAACAAAACGAAATATTAACTTCAGCTACATGAAATAGCCTCTAGTTCATCTACAGGGTTTAATGTGTGAGAGTAACATAATGGGAGATCACCGTCAAATAAATAACGAGACATCAAAACGTGAGCTGAGCTGTAAATTATGGTAATGTTTAGATCCAGTGTTCACTTTGTACGAGCATCTTAAAAATATATAATTCTTGGTTGATGTATGTATAATACACATGGCTTTTGTTTATAATCCTTTATTCTCTGAGAAAAAAAGGATCATATATTTGTAATATTTAAATTACGTTTTAACTTTCCAGAATCCAGTTATCAAAGAAGCGAATCTCGAAGTGCAACTTTTATTTTTGGAACTGAAATATTATTGGTTCTATCAATAAACTAAGTTTCTTAAAAACATACACTCACGAGCTTGGTCAGAGGAAAGAACATTTCTAAAGGCTAATGTATTCAAGCAATTTGACAACCTCGGTCATGATCGGTCTAACAGCCGGTTCCGGTTCAAGACACATCATCGCTATACCAAACACATCGTTCATCTCTTGAACCGGTGATCCTCTTAACCTGTTATCTATCACCACTTCTTCTCTTTGGTCTCTTACCACTCCTTTTACCTGTATACATACGACGTCGTTTGCAACCCAACCAGAGTCATTAACCTTTTCTTTAACAATGAAAAGAGAAGGTAACTTCTTACCCAAGTAACAAGCTTTGTTCCTTCTTCAAAAAACTCATCATCTGTAGGTCTTCTTCCGGTTAAAAGCTCAAGAAGAACAACTCCAAAACTGTAAACATCTCCTTTCACTGTCGCTTTACCGGTATCGAAATACTCTGTTTCCAGAAACACACATGATCAAAACCAATACTAAATCTCTGTTATGAATTTGAATTCAACAAATCTAAGTTGTTGTACAAACCAGGAGCTAAGTATCCAAACGTTCCAGCTACAAACGTTGAGACATGAGTCTTCTCTGGCTCCATCAAAGTAGCTAAACCGAAATCCGAAACCCTAGCTTCCATGTTATGATCAAGAAGTATGTTACTAGATTTGATATCTCTATGGATAATATGAGGAATGCAATCATGATGAAGGTAAGAAATCCCTCTAGCCGCTCCAACCGCGATTTTATACCTCGCCGCCCAATCCAAAACCTTTCTATCTCCAGATTTTCTTCCTGCAAATACAAAAAGAAACTTGTGTCCCAAGAAACAGATAGAATTCAAGAAAACTTGTGGATCAAGAAACCACTTGAATAATGATTTAATCCTCTTTTTCAACGTACCGTGCAGAAAAGAATCCAAGCTTCCATTAGGCATGAGCTCATAGATAAGGAGATTGAAATGTGGAGAGGTGTAGTAACCATGGAGAGTTACAATGTTTCTGTGTTTTATATCAGCCATTGATTCTAACTCTCTATGAAACCCTCCGTCTCTCTCAGAGTCTCCTCTGTTTAGTCTTTTCACAGCAAAGGCTGTAGACTCATCAATAGCTAATTTGTAAACAGTACCGAATCCTCCGGAACCGAGAATGTCTTTGTTACTTAGCTTATGTGTCTTCTTCATAAACAAGTCTGAGGAAACAGAGTTTAGTAATGGTGACCTAAACATCACCATCTTCCCTCCTCCTTTAACTGAAAAAAATACATTAAAATCAAAACACTAGAGAAACCATTTATATTAATCAAAGCTAGATGATCTTACCTGGAAATCCATTTTCAAGAACTGTATGTTTTCTCTTCCATCTCTTGTAGAGAAGAAGAGCTATTATGATCTTACCAATGACAAAAGCAACCACAGAGATTGTTATGTAAAGAGTTGTTTCCTTTGCATTAGCCATTGTTTCTATTCACAAACCCTTTGAATGAAAAGAAAGAAAAAAAGATAAAGAAGACAAGACAAGAAGTTGGTTATGGAAATGGAAACAAGAATAGAAAGTAGGTTTTACAACTTTTTGATCCTCACCAGCAATTCGACACGCCACATAACCAAATGTATCCATAATGTTACTATTACGTATGAAATGAAAAAAGAAATCGAGTTTATATTATTAAAAGAACATCCGCTTTTGTTGAAAACATTAAATGAGATGTACACACAGTCACACACTATGCAAAAAAAGGAAAAATGTGATCAAAGCACTCATGAGAATTAGTATGTTACCAGCTATTATCTAGCTTTTTGAGTTTTTGTCGTTGAATTTGTGCTCTACATCTAAAACAAGATCATTCAAAAGTCCGGAACCATATTATTAGTTTTGTAACAGGAGACCTCTGACACAATAGTCAAATCTTTTCAAGTTGAGCTACCGACCTCTTAGCTTTTACTCAAGCGTTTGTATTATTATGACTTCAGTGACCAGAGGAAGAAGAAGATTGTCTTCACTACATATGAGATAGACTTGTAAGAAAGATCTATATGTTTTTAGTTGGAAACATGGTTTTTATGATGAGGGTCCATAGTCATGAGATCAAGGTGTGATTTTCCATTGAGCTTTTGAGCAAAGAAGGCATCAAAGAACTCTTGTGAATAGAAATAACGCAAGGAGCTGATGGCATTCGAATCAAGCAAGGAGGATACGCGCAAGGTATACTTGTCAAGACGAAGATAAAGTCATGTAACTATACTCACGTTCTAATGCACACGAATTTGAAAATGTCGAAGATAGAGGAGGAGCCTGAGATTGATGCAACATCGTATCCAAGCACCACTAGATTCAAATGGAATTAAGGAGAAGACTTTGGTACCAAAGTTGTATTACATCACACACATTATGAATAAATAAAAACAAAATCGAACTAACATATGAGAATATCTTTTCACCTTTGCCAAACCATTGGATTCAATCTTTGTTTTTGACTTAGCGAACGCTGGGTAAGTAGTATTCTTAAGTAATATTACTCTTGGTCTCAAATTCCCTTTGGATTTCAAAGTCTCCAAAGGGTTCAAAGAAATTACAGATTTGTTTGCAGTCATCTGTGGACAGTTTTCCAGAAAAAAAACAGCTACAACTCGTGTCTGCAAAATGAAAACATGTTTAGAAAAATTAAAGAGAGTTATATACTTAAAAAGATAACAATACTTTCACATTTTTACCCCAGATCGCAAGGCAGGTAAGAGGAGTCTGAGATTGTCAAAAGTAATATACTTCGTAACTCCATGTTTGTATTCCATGGTGAAAGGTCCTTGGATAACCACCTCAGATACAAGCACTAATGCATGTTTGAAGAGATCAGTTGACTTAAGGTAGAATTTCCTCTTCATTTTCTCGGTGATTATCAGTAATAGGAAAAAGCAAGATGAGAGACAAAGATGTTGTGAAATTTAAGGTATATACATATTAACATACCTGAAAGCAATCAGGAGTGGACTCAAAATATTTAAATTTCTGCACAATTTATGCAAGGAGTTGTTTAAACCTCTCATGATAACCATAGAGTTCCAACTCTGTGCTGTTGTCATCTCTAATCGATATTTCAGTGGAAATATACCCATCATCAGCCTATATAACAATTATAGATTATAACAGTTTACTGGAACAAGAAAAAAAAAACAGGTTTACCTTAAATAGAATAGAACTAAGCTCAACTTTGATGATCTCGAAGAAAATTCTACTGATCATATGGAGAACAACTCCTTCACCAGAAGCTTTAGAAAATGTGCTCTCATAGTCTTTGTAGAAACAATTTTCAGCAATTTTTACAAAAGCTAAACAGGGAAAAAAAAACAAATTTACCTTGAATAGAATTAGAGCTAAGCTCAGCTTTGATGATCTCGAAAAAAATTCTACTGATCATATGGGGAATAACTCCTTAACCAGAATCCAAATAGATGTCCAGAGAAGCTTTAGACAATGTGCTCTTATTGTCTTTCTAGAAACAATTGTCAGCAATTTTTACAAAAGCACTCTCCTCAATTTTGCTCTTGAGGATACTCACATGGTAAGGTTGTTGGCATCAAATCGTTCTTCAGAGGGAGGTGTATCACACAATGTGTTTCTTCAGGAGACTCTCATTCAAGTAAATCGGAGAGGGAAATAGGCTCCTCTTAGTATTTTGAAGATATAGGATTCTGTTTCACCTGATGAGAATAAAAACATTCAAAATCAGTAAACAAAATAACCAATCAGAACACAGAATTAATCTACATTTTCTTGTGAATGACTTTGCGAGAATGTCAATCCTCATATTTTTTAAAGTGAAATAACCAAGAATATTCTTAATGTTTTCGGAATCACCAAAATCATATGAACAATCAAGAGAAAATGCAGATGAAACGGGGAATGAGAGCAAATTGACTGAAAAAAAAAATGAAAAAGCAAAATCATAAGATCAACAAAAAAAATTAATCAACCAAAAAGAAAGGTTCAAAATTAATTGACAAACCTACAAGAGCAAAGGAATATTGACAAAGATCACACATCTAATCACAACCAGAGTCTAAGCATTCAAACTTCATTTTCATTGTAGATCTGAACTCGACAGTGAGAATTGGAAGAGATTGAGAGAGGTCAACGGTTTTCAAAAGGTTGAGGTACTGGTACACATACGAAACAATATCATATTTCTACAAAAACACAACAACAAAAAAGAGTTAAAGCAAGAAATAAAAGAATGCATAAAAAATTGCTTATTTAATGGTAAACAACATACATACGTGCTCCAAGCCGCAGTTAGTGATATCTATTGAGATAATAAAAAGTTGGCATGCTCTTGTAGAATCAAAGTCACTGCTCTCAACAAAAGAAAACTTTGCTTCATGACCTGCCGAAACATTAAACGATATAATCCAACATTTGGACTTAAAAAAAGGAAAGAGATCTCTGACATTCTGCCAAGCACAAATAAATATTCCTAAACTACCAAACTGGTTAAGTCCAAAAAAAAAATTGCACAAAATTTGAGAAAAACTAACTGTCACATAAGAGTTGGTGTATAAACATCAATGGCATTTTTTCTACATGTGTGGGAGAGACAACATGAAGGATCCAACTAATCCTCATACTCTGGGATCCCTCCAAATACTTGAGTATATAGGCAACCTCAGGCTTCCACAAGCAATTCTTCCAACGATTTGCATCATAGTTTGGAGGGTTGTTAATCGGTGGACCACTTTTAATTTTTGTAAAGTATTTCCTATCCCATCCTTCTATATCATCTACATGATCTATAAAAATAAAAAACAGAGATGAGATAAAAATTTAAATAATTCAGAAGAGCACAACCAAAATAAAAAAATTTGTACCTGCGCCAATTTATTTATTAATACCAAAAGGTTTAGAGTTGAAACTCATAATATATTCAGACCTTTTTTGTGTAAACCCATTCTATTAACTTAAAATTATAAACATTGTTTAAAACCCAAAAGGCTCTTTTGGCAATAGAGTCAGTTCTAACGTTGATTGTTCTAGGAATAAACGTAAAATTGATTTGAGAAAAAAAGAGAGATAGAGAGTAGATATCACGAAGAACGCCAAAGGACCAATACCACATAATGTGATATTATTCAAACTATAGACCTCTGAGCTTCGACACAATGGTCAAATCTTTTCCAGTTGAACTAACTACCTCCTAGCTTTTACACGATCGTTTGTATTATTATGGCTGGTAACCATTAGAAGAATATGAGAAATAAAAAAAAGGAATGAAAGAAAATAAAATGAGGAAAATCTATTTCTCTTCTAAAAAATAATTGTAGTCTATTATTCTTTAAATGTTAAAAAATATTAAAGAATCATAAGGAACAAAAATTCCTCGTAAATGGTTTAAACGGTAAGGAATGATAAAGGATTCATTATTCTCACTCATTCCATTGGTCACCATTTAGAGCCTATGACTTCAGTGACCAAAAGAGATTCTCTTCATTACATATGAAATAGACTTGTAAGAAAGACCTACATGTTTTTAGTTGGAAACATGGTTTTTACGATGAGGGTCCAAAGTCATAAGATCAAGGTGTGATTTTCCATTAAGCTTCTGAGCAAAGAAGGCATCAAAGAACTCTTGTGTGCTCATACTTTTGAACAAACGTTCCTGCTGGTGCTTATCCACAAGGCTTTTCGCCGGACCAATCACTATCTCCTTCCCTGGACTGTGAAACATGGCAACAGATAACCTCTCTTTGTCTGAATTCACCATCACTCTATGCTCGATGCTTCGATATCTCCCATTTGTTATAATCTTTACAAATAACAAAACACTAACTATCAGCAAAAGCATACTTTTAACACATGTGAACTACTAGCCGCATCTCTTACCTCTAGGATCTCACCAACATTAACAACTAAAGCATTTTGCAGCGGTTTTACCACAACCCATTTGTTATCTTTCTTGATCTGGAGCCCTTCCACTTGATTCACCTGCAATAGTATTGTGAGACCTGCAGCGTCTGAATGTGGAGTTAAACCTATAACTTGATCTGGCTGTGGACATGGTGGATAGTAGTTAATCTTGATAGATTGCCAAACATCTCCAAACAAATCTTCCATCTCTTCAGGTTTAACCTCAAGAACACTCGCCATTTTCGCGAAGAGAATTTTAGCTATGCTCTTCACTTCAGAGGAGTACCTCTCTACGGTTTCTCTGAAAAAGAGAAAGAGCTTTGCAGTTTACAGTTGTAAGAGGGTGATGTTAGTTATTTACAAAGCAGTTTTGTACCTGAAATAAGGAGGTAACTTGGAGAACAAGTGAGATTTGCGTGATTGAATTGGTTCAGTGGTGAGGATGAACATATCTCCCCAGTCAAGTTTCTGATCCTCAGACACTATGTTCACCTGTCCGAACCCTTCGAACTCACCACTTCTCTGCCACAGTTTCTTCTTCTCTTCCATGGGAAGGTTGAAGAAATCTTGAACCTCTCTCTCTAAATTCTCAAGAAAAGAAGACTCTATTCCATGGTTGACCAGCTGCAGACAGATTGAAACCAAGTAAGAGAGCTTGTATTCCACGATAAATACAAAGATTCAAGAGACTTAACTTGAAAAAATCCCCAATCTTGGCAAGCGAGATCAAGCTTCTTTAGCTCGGTATCCATGGCGGAAACAGAGCACAAGCTTTGCATGTCGATGACTGGAATCTCGGAATTCAGACAGGAATCATCTAAAGTCTCTGTTTTGTCTTGATCAGAACGAAGATACCTCGGAGGAACAGTTGTGAAGTTCTTCTCTTTTACGATCTCTAGAACAGAAGGTACTAGGAGGGAGCTCCACTGTGTTTCTCCTTTGGGTTCCATAGGTTTCTACCACACAAAACAAACGAAAACAAAGAACAAATCTTGGAAGATGTGATCGCAAGAACCAAACAAGAAGTTTAAAGTCAAGTTAGAGAGAAAGAGAAAGAAAATCGGTCTGAAGAAGACGACTTGAAACATCTACCAATACCAACAATACCCTCCACATGTATTCTTATTACATAATAGCCTTTGCAAATCTCATCACTTACAAGTTGCAAGTTTACAACAAAATGATTCATGTTTAGAGATCATGAGTCTTTGAAAGAGCGGAAGATTCAAAGATAATTTCACCATAACAAGACCGACATAAACAGGACTGTATTACCAAAGCAGACCAAACCAGGACTAACTACTAGTTCTTAGCTCTTCACAAGACAAACCTTTTTGTTCACTTGTTCAACACACTTAACTAAATGGTCCTAACTCAGTGAAATCCCAACTTTCATTTCTTTTCAGTCTTCAAGTTGTTTTGGGGCACTGCGTCTCCAGACTCCAGCCAAGACGCTACCGATGATGGAGTGACAGACGCTAGAAACAGCACACGGTACTGCAGTGAGCGGATTACCAAAATGCTCTGCCGCGAGAACAAGCCCAAGCACCGAGTTCTTCACCATTACAAAATGAGAAAAAAAGCTTCAGTTTAAACTTGAAAATTTGAGTTTTAAAACAGATTCATTTGAGAAACTGTTTACTTACCTGCATGCCAACTTCGATAGAGACAGTTCTTGACGAAGCCACATCGATTCCGAGAAGTCTTGAAAATAGATAGCCAAAGAGAAATCCAGAGATGTGAAGAAGGGCACAAGCCAAGACTACTTGTTTCCCAGACGTGAGTATCGCAGATGCGTTCTGACCTATAGCAGTGCCGCAGAGAATCGCAACTGTTCCAACCGCAATTGGAGCCATAAGAGGAGTAACAAATTTCACCACTCTTTGAAAGTACTGATTCAGAAATGCACCAGCCAACACTGGGAGAAGAACCACCTGTGGCCATACAAGAGAGACAGAAAAGGTTAATCCAAAGATGAACAAACTTGCAACCAAGAAACTAACTGAACCAGCCAAACCTGTAGTGTTGACTTTACTAATCCAAGAGCATCAACTGCGACATATTGTTTGGCAAGCTTAGCCGTAAGAAGCGGAGTCATGATCTAGAAAACGGAATGAACACAAAGATGATTATTTATGGTGCCTTAATCTACAAGAAGCACAGAAAACAGATGAGACTAACCACAGCTGAAAGAGTACTAGCTGCTGTCATCAACACTGATAGTGCCACATTTCCACTGTAACACGAACAAAAAAAAGATCAAATCATAGTTGTATAATAAGAAACATATGGAACCAGAATAAAAATAATGTTTCTTTGGATTACACACCGTGCAATGTAAGTGACAATATTACTTGCCGTACCTTCACATACACAAAAAGCATCAGAACACAACATTACTAGATCAGAATATTCTAAAACTGAAATCAAGCAAAGAAGGTATTTTTACCGCCTGGACAGCAACCAACCAATATGAGTCCAGCAGCATAATGTGATGGCAAATTCAAGAGTTTACTCACTAGAAATGCTGATAACGGCATGACCTGCAACATCATTGATTCCTCAGCAAGTTATAACCCTATCCAAGCTCTAATACTAACATTCCAAACCAACTAACTACTAATTACCAAACCTAACAAAAAAACTACCATCAGATGCCACCAACACAAGTTCATTTAAAGATCTCATCTTTCTCTATAAAAACAGAGCATTGAGAGAAACAAAAACCCTACCGAGTACTGCAACACAAACCCAGCGAAAAGCTCTTTAGGCATCTTCAACGCGCCACGAAGATCATCCAAAGTCAAAGTCATCCCCATTCCAAGCATCGTGATCGTAAGCCCTATGATAGTCAAATCAGGAGTGACCCAATTGAAAGCACTAGGTCTCATCAACCCAAACAAACACCCCAGAGAAACCCATATCGGAAACGCCGTCGAAACCGCCTCTCCCAAAAACTCAACCCACTCCCCAAAGCTCTTCTCTTTCTCCGCAGGTAAGTCGTTCGACGAAATGCCGCAACGAGTTACGAATTCAAAGCTTCGTCGCTGCTTACACGAAACTGGAACAGCCACTGGGTAACGCGATTTGAGAGAAACTGAAATCTCGCGACTTGAACAGGAGATAACACGTTGTAGATGAAGCGGAGTGAGATTAATGAACTTGCGGAAAGAGTTCGATTTCAATTGGGTTGTTGAGATTGATAGAGAGAGAGAAGCCACGGAGGAGGCCATTTTTTGTTTTCTCCGTCGTCGGCGATTCTCTCTGATCGGAGAGCAACGAAGAAGAAGAAGAAGATACCTACTCACGTGCCTTCACGTGATCTAAGCACGTTTAATTTTACAAATGTGGTCCTTGAATTAAACTTATTTCTCTAATCTACCCCACGTGCCTCACGTGATCTTATCACGTTAAATTTTGACAAATGTGGTCCTTGAATAAAACTTATTTCTCTAATCTACCCCACGTGCCTCACGTGATCTTATCACGTTAAATTTTGACAAATGTGGTCCTTGAATAAAACTTATTTCTCTAATCTACCCCTCGTTTAATAAGAATGGTATATTCTGTTGTTTAATTGAGTCACAAGTATTAGACTACACAAGACCAGCCCAAGACAAGGTCATACACAAGCCCATTAACCATATGTTTAGGGTTTCTTAGCAAGACTGATAGCTTATATAAGTTAGTGTTATGTTGATGTATGAGGTAACTTTGGTTGCGGTTTTAGCAGCCTCTCTTTGAACTCTTTGTATGAAATCAAAGTATCTATTTTAGCTCTTGAAGNTGCGGTTTTAGCAGCCTCTCTTTGAACTCTTTGTATGAAATCAAAGTATCTATTTTAGCTCTTGAAGGCAACACAAAGCTTCTTCCTTTCTTTGTCTTTCTTGCATAATAAAGCTCATTTGAGCTATGTCTTTATCTCTTTAGTTATGTCTCAATAAAGTCTTTAGAACACAAATCTACTTGTTCTTGAAATGTCATCATGGTATCAGAGCTTCAGTCGATTTTCATGGGTTACCCTATCCTCCTTTAGCTTCTGCTCACTCTGTCTAAGCCATCTCAAGTTTCCACCAAACTCTCTTAGAAAAGCAAGGAGTTCAAGGTCGAAGCTTTCTTTGAATCAGAGTCTCCTATACATGTTGACGACGAGTTATATAGACGCCGTAACGGCTAAAGGCGTGACCTTTATGTTCGTGAGAAAAATGTTCGATGCTCAACATCACGTTAAGTGTTATTCAGCGCAAGCATTCAAACTGGCAAAACGGTTGTCAGCTCTGTAGTGGTGAGAGCAACACGGTCTCAACAACAAGATGTGAAAGGTAACGCTTCTGTCCTCTCTTTAAAGACAGAACATGAAGTGGCTTATCGTCATAGCTTGAGAGGAACAGCTGTTTTAGATTTAGAGGTGTGGAACCGTGAAGCTGAATAAGTACATGGGTTTGGTGTTTGATAATTATGGGTTTATAGCTCCAAATTTCTGAAGCGCTCACCAAGTGCTCGGTATAATGCCACAGAGAAAGACACAATGGTAGAACGCAGGTTGTAGTTAGTTTTGTGATGGGAAGAAGAGAGCATTTAGGATTTTAGTAGTTGTGGGGACATTCTCCTTGGTCATGAGAAGTAGTTATTGAGTTAAGCGGGTAAAAGAAACCCGGACTCTAGTGAGAAATAATGGTCACAATGTACCTCTGAGTGAGATCAACTAAGCTCTCCAAGTTCAAGAGAAACCTCTGAGTGAAGCCATGGGATACTCACCAAGTATAGACCAAACAGTCTCACACATATCTCTATCTCTGCGATGAAGTGATGAATCTACTTATACCTCCATGGGATCCTTCTTTCTACTCTTGCTCCTATCAAGTTCATACATTTGCGATTCAAACTTAGCTTCGCTGAGATCTATCTACGCTAAGTTTGCGGGGGAGTATTAGACTACACAAGACCAGCCCAAGACAAGGTCATACACAAGCCCATTAACCATATGTTTAGGGTTTCTTAGCAAGACTGATAGCTTATATAAGTTAGTGTTATGTTGATGTATGAGGTAACTTTGGTTGCGGTTTTAGCAGCCTCTCTTTGAACTCTTTGTATGAAATCAAAGTATCTATTTTAGCTCTTGAAG